GAATTATAAGCATGTGACTGCATCTGTTTTATAATGTGCTCAACTTTGACTGCAGGGAGTTAATGGAAAATAAATTGCAAATGGGGAATTTCAGCGTATTATGTAACACAGTAAGTGCTGGCCATGAAATAACCCAATCAGAAGCTGTTGAGCATGCATGGTTGAAGAGTTGGGGTGGGGGCGGGCCTTAGTTTTATATCTTTTACATTGTTTGCCTTTCTCTGATACATATTTCTCATTTTTAAAAAAATAGCTAAAATGAGTAATTTACATATCCATATAGTGAAAAACTCTGCAGCAATGGAAAATGATAGTAGATCTACAGAAAGTAGCTCATTATATAACTTAAAAAGCAAGCTTTCATACAAAGAAATGACAACTATTTAAGGTAAAGTAAGTGCTAATCACCAATTTGATTCTTGTGTGTTATATGCATTCATGGAATTCTTATACTGTGCCCCTTTATATGTATAATTATTATGTGCCAAGTGTTTTATTATTTTTATTTTACATGTACAAGTGTATTGCCTGCATGTATGTAAATGCACCCGTGTCATGCAATGCCCATGGAGGTCAGAGGAAGGTGTCAGATTCCTCTGGAACTGGAGTTACAGACAGTTGTTAACTGTCATATGGGTGCTGGGAATAAAACCCAGGTTCTCTGCAAGAACAGCCAGTGCTCTTAACTGCTGAGTTATACCTCCAGCTCCCCAATTTTTAAAAAATATTTTATTATTTTTATTTCATGTGTATGAGTGTATCACCTGCGTGTATGTCAGTGCACCTGTGTCGTGCAATGCCGCAGAGGTCAGAAGAGGGCTTCGGATTCCCCTGGAACTGGAGTTAAGGATGGTCATAGCTGCCATGTGGGTGCTTGGAACTGAATCCAGGTTCTCTGCAAGAGTAGTCAGTGCTCTTAACCACTGCGCCATCTCTCCAGCCCCCCCCCCGAATTTTTTAAAGCAAGGTTTTAGAGTAGTATTTGATACTTTTCTTTCCAGTGCTGGACATTGAACAAAGGGCCTCATGTGCCAGACAAGCACCTCTGAGTTACACCCAAGCCCCCTCAAACATAATATTTAACTGTGTTAAATTAACACCAAAAGTAACACATAGTTGTTGCCTGGACTGCTGGTCCAGGCCAGTGTCTTCTTCTGGGAGCTTGTTCTGATTCTGATCTTTATATGGTGCATATACTCTTTTAGCAGTGGGTAAGAGCATGTTGTGCGTGTTTTGAGCAGAAGATCTGAACTCTTTTTTTAAAAAAATAATTATTTAAATCATCATGACCTCGAGAAAGGGTCTCCCTATGTAACCCCAGCAGGGGTTTAAGCTGGAGAGCCTCCTGCTTGGTCTCCTGAGTGCTGGGATCACCGGTATATGTTACCAGGCCCAGTGGAAGCTATGAGCACTTGACTGCGAGTGTTAGTTCAAAGACTTGCCTAGGTGACGTGGCCCAAAGGGTAAACAGCTTTTACACAAATATTTGGTGGAGGAGAGCTAAGGAAAGACTGCCTAGAAGTCATTTGGCTTACAACCCTCATTCATAGATGATGGACACAGAGAGGGATCATGACAAGAAAAGGTCACCAGTTGAAGAAGTATCCAAGAACGATATTAGCCAGAGTGAGTCTGAAAACCTAGCAAGAAATGGTAAGCTGGACCAGAAGAAGCTTGATGCTGATCTCTCAGAGAGCCTGAGAGTGGAGGAGGAGGAAGGGAAAAGTGTTCAGAAATGCTCAATAGGCTGGACTTTGAAGAAGTCTAGAGAAACTAAATTAGAGAAGCAGCTTTAATATAGACAAGAGGAGACTTGGGGCTGCAAGAGAGGGTCCTGGACAAGAGCTGGCCTTCCCTGAGCATTGCACACTCACCAGACCTGTGTGAGGTCACTGTCATGTAAACACGATGAGGAAACTCTATACCTACTGCACAGACAATGATGGGCTGGGTGCGGAGGTCTGTACTTGGTGCCCCAGCTCTCAAGAGGATGAGGAAAGAGGATGGCAAGTTGGGCTAAATAACTAAAATCCTCTCAGAGAAAAAAGGAAATGAGGAAGGAAGGGAGGGAGGAAGGGAGGGAGGAAGGGAGGTGAAAGAGCAGGGAGGGAGGGAGGAAAGGAAAGGAGAAGGGAAAGAAACAGGAGGGGGAGGAAAGGCAATGGTGACAGAGGCCCAAATTCTGGAGCTTGCTCAAGTCCCGCTGACAACAAATGCCCAACTAGAATCTAAACCTAGGTTGGGCTAATTTAAAATCTGAGCTTATGAAGAATGAGAAGACTCCAATAAACACATAATGACTGACTGATAAGTGTCTTTTCCCATTAAGGAGACAATGTGTGCTGTTCCCTTCTTGAACCCTGGAATCAGCCCCTCTGCACAGGGCATCACCATCTGGGTGCCTTGACTGGCCCATGGGACGGATTAGGACTCACCTGTTTGCCCAACAGGACTTAGAGAACAGGGGAGTGCACCAGCAGTTGGAGGTCCCTCCCCTCCCCCAGCTCTGAGCACTGATGGTGCCCCCTGAGGACTTAGAGACTGACCATGAGCCTCTGCATCTCAGGGAGACAATCAAGACCCTGCAAAAATGCAAGAAAAGATGCTGGAGCTCTCGGTTTGCACACCCTCAGCCCCATCTCTGTCCTCTAACCAACTACAAAGGCATATTAATGGGCCTGACTGCCCGTTAGAGCTAAGCTAGCTCCAGAAGCGCCCCGCCCTGTTACTGTGTCTCCCTGGGAACTTATGTCTCCACTGAGCTTAGGGGGCGGAGAAGCAGGCAGGCAGGCCCAAGAGAATATGTATGTCAGTTAAGGTTTGTCGCTTACACGTGGAGATCATTAACGAGACTTATTTTTAAATTGTAATTGCAAAATGTAAATGCTCCCCAAACTGATGTGTAATTGCTACCCCTCCACCCCAGCCCTTCCCCTCTGGTGCCAGCTTTGCAAGGAGAGAATTAGAAAATAAAAAGGGGGTGGATTATGTAAGCAAAACGATTTTAAAAAAAGAGAGCGAGAGCTAAGAATTTAAGTGAGACAGCTGGCGGTTTCTCTGATTGCCACACTTCCAGCATTAGCTGCAAAAATTGTCCTTGCCAATCGCACCCATCCAAGCAGCAGTGTCAACTCTGCTTAGTCCCCAGGACAGACCATACTGTCACTCAGTTGGAAAGACAGTGCAGTGGTGAGTGGGCATGTGCATGGCAGGTAAAGAGGTAGACTAGTCGGGGTCCTGTTGAGCTTTGCTTCCATCTCAACTGTGGAAGCCACCCATTTTCCAGAAAGATGCAAACCATGCAGGAGTTAGCAGCCAGGCAACGTATTTTCCCACATCTTAGTTAGGAGGTGATGGCATGGGGAGTGGGGGCTTCACAGGCTGGCTTGTGTAGCCCCAACAATGCAACCTCAGCCAGGAGGAAGCAGGGCTCTACCATGCAGGCCATGGGGAGAGCCTCACTTCCACTCAGTCCCAGAGAAAGCCCTGGGACTCAGTAACAACACACTCACCCTAGTTCACCAGGTACATAAGCTGGTCCAGACTGTCTTTCTTTCTTTTCCTTGTCCTCCATCTCCCTCAAGCTCTCACCCTAGTCACTGTGTACTCAGGCTCCAAATGCCAAAAAGATTGTGAATTCATGCCCTAGGAGGATTGATCAAGAAATGTAGCTCCATCTTGACCGCTGTGGATAGCCTTCTCCTCCAAGGAGTTATAGAATGCTACACCATGCTGACTCCCCACTCACCACACCAGCACCACAGAGCTACCTTAGACAGGAAGTGGGACAGTCATGGACACCTCTTCTCTCCTCTGAGACAGTCCTCTATGAGTGCCTATGACTACTGATCATCTGCTTGGGGAACTGGGACAGCAATATGCACTACCTGGGTGCCTCTCTTCCTGTTTGCATGGAAAATTGGTTTTTCTGAAGAACATGACAATGATTACTGCCCCCAGAAGGAAGATGATGAATAGTAAGGTTCATAGGAGCCCTAAGACATCGGGGAAAGACAGAAATCCTAGACACAACCTTGAGGTTATGACTGGATTTCACTATAACAGATCCAGCTCCAATACTGACATACTAAAAGAAGAAAAAGGTTGTTTTGGATCACCAAACTTCTAAATCCCTTACTATCCTGCAGTGTGGGTCTGTGAGACCATGAGGTTACTGAAGGAAGTTAAAAAGTCAAAAAGCTAGGGCTAGAGAGGTGGATTAGCAGTTAATAGCACTGGGGGATCTTGTGGAAGGACCACGTTTGGTTCCCAGCACCAACAGGGCAGCTAACAGCTGTCTGCAACTCCATTTCCAGGGGATCCAATGCCCTCTTTTGATCTCCACAGGCATTGCATGACATAGGTACATTTACATATATGCAGATAAAACACTCATTTGCATAAAATAAAAATAAATAAATAATAATTTTTAAAAGCCCAAAGACTCAACAATGGAAACATTTTAAAACCATGCCCACAAGAGGATTTTTACTCAGAGAGTTTCTATTCAAAGTGCTTAATATGATCTAAAGAACTATTTCTCCAAGTTCACCCAAAATACCTAATGTACAGTTTCCTCCGCATTCATCAAATCCTTTGGGGTGTGTATGTGTGGGTTGTTACCTACTTCACAGAATCAGAGTCTCTGACTCTGGGGTCAGGGAACTGCATTTGTCACCAACATCCCAGGGTGATTCTCCGGTGATAATAGTCACTCCAGAGTTGTGCAAATGTAATCATTGCCACGAATATGTGCAACACCCACCTATCTGCATCTTGTGATACAGAACACAGACAGCACAAGACAGGTTGCCTGGCCCTCATCCTTGAAGAACTGGGGAGGCATACAGACATGAAAAATGCAACATAGTGCTTGCTGTCTAAGGCTGTCTTTGCCAAGTGTCTGTTCAGGTGACCAGCTGGTACTAGAGACTTTCAGAAGAAAGGAAATTGTGCCTGGGAGTTCACCATGTGCCCAAGGACAGAAAAGTACGCCTTACTGTTGGGTGATCCCACAGACTCCGGGATGGTCTTCGGGAGACTCACCCCCTCTTCTCACTTCCAGCTGGGCCAGAAATGATTCCCGGCAGCTACAGCCAGATCACCTGCAGAAAGAAGGGCAGAGCAGATCTCAGCAGGAGCATCAGAGCACAGGCACTGGGCTCTCTCACCCGACTCGTCCTCCCCAGAACACGTCCTAATCGAGAAAGATTTTATTTCCTCTGCAGATGTTACTACTGTATTTTGCCATTCAACTCTCAGTTCTCAACATACTACAGAGTCCTGCCATACCCAAATCATTGTAGAGCCCAAACTTTGTCACAGTTGGACTTGCCCTGTTGTTGTCTGTCTGGTTTCCTGACCCTGGGTGTGCTACAGTCTCCCGTGCAGCAGTGGGCAGGTCTCAGGGAGTCACTCCAGGCCCTGGGAAGACCAGCTGGCCCTTTATTTAAGACTCCAAGGGAACTCAAAGGAAGGGGAAGCACCAGTGCTATTTCAAGTATGTAGGTGAGCTTTGGACCCAGGTGATAGACAGGCAGGCTTTGACTGGGGATCTGGAAGGACACTAGTGAGGAGGGAAAGGTGCTTGAAGGGAGCAGGGAGGAAAATTCAGAAGGGAAATGAACCAAATGCAAAGAAGGATAACCTGAGGCTAAAGAGGCCTTTGGCTGTACACGTTTTTAAAAATGTTATTTCTAGGTTAAAGTGAATTAATTTTGTGAATTATTTTTTACAATATCTGAAGTGAACTGAAGTATCTGCAGGCAGAGGTTGGGTGATCAGCCCTGCCATGAGGTCTGGCCAGACACTTCCCAAAAGACCCATCACTTTCTCCAGCAGATGTGTTGCTAAATCAACTCCAAGAAGACACTGCTAGGAGCCAGAACGGCAGGGTCACAGGAGCAGGGTCTACTCCCAGCTTCTTCGCACCCCCAGCCAAGAGCCCCAGCCCTGTCCCCAAGGCAAATGCATCTTTAACATTAGCAGTTCCTTCCTAGTTAACACCATCTTGGTCTCCCTGTAAAAACACATTTGCACCTCAGTAAAGAATGTAATTAACTAGTGACATGACAACAGGAGGAGTGAAGCAGCAGCCAGGCTGGGAGCTACAGTGGAGAAGTGGAAATGTAGACATCTGCCTGAGCAAAACCTCGTGGGAGTGTATGTGTGTGTGTGTGTGTGTGTGTGTGTGTGTGTGTGTACACTACTGGGGAGGTGAGAGTGGCAGACAGCATCCAGGATCCTAAGGGAGGTTTGAATTCCCAGTTGCAAGAAAGAAGGCAGGTGAGCTAGGATGGGATGAACTGAGAGAGGCGCCAAGGGTAAACGGAAGCTCATGGGTCTCCACTAACAAACGCCCCCTGGATTAAAGCAACTCCCTATGCCTTTTCTACAACCCAGACTCCTCCCAAGAGGAGATGAGGAATACTAAGACACATTTGCAGGTCCTCCTGGCCATTGTCTGTGCTGGGGGAACCACTGGGGCCAGAGAGATCAGTGACAATAGTGGTCAGAGTGGGCACAGTTGGTATCAAATTACTCCTGTCTCATTCCCTTCATCCTGCTCCTCCATGTGACCTTGTCCTTGAACTCTGTAATGACTCCCAGAGCTCTGGGCACGGAGGCTGCAAACCTGGGAGGCATGTCTCATTCCTCCTTTCTCCAGGGTCCAACTCAATTTTCACTCCCTGTCACCATCTCTTCTCAACTCTTCCTAATCAGAGCTGAAGAGCGTCTTTCCTCCTTCCCATTCCAAGTAGTGCAATTTAGATAGGATTGTCCTCTCTGGCCATGCTAGTCAGCCCCTCCTGGTCTGTGCCATCAGGCCCCAGTGCACCCATACACTGACTGACTTCATTAACAAGCAGTGAGTACTCACAGTCTTTCATGGGTTTATCGCTGGGCCACCACTTTTTCCAGAACTCCAGTGACACCTTGTCCACCTTGTTACAATGTCTAGTAACTGCATTAGACCAAGCATAACCTTCTGGGTATCTGTTTTGAGCCACTGTCTTTCTAGATTCATCCTTCCCTCTGAACCCAGGGGTCCTCACCTCTCTATGCAATCAAAAACTCTGTTTTTCACACCTGGCCCTATTTCTAGTTCTCTCAATGTTCCAATTCTATATTTCTACCTGACAAGACCCCAGTTATTCTTCAATATTCATCTCAAACAATCTGGTGGCTGCCTTTGCAGCCAAAAGTAATTTTTCTTCCTCTGTGTTTCTAAGTAACACGCTGCTTGTCATTCTCTGGAAGCTCTTGGCACATTCCATCTCATGCTATGGTCATCTTACAACCTGTCATCTCTGTCCAAACTGTGAGCCCCTCACAGCCAGGAATCCTATCTTACAATTTTTCAGTCTCCAAAGTATCTTCATATATAACATCTTCTTTAATTCTTAAACCTTAGAACTTTTATTACCTTTCCAAAATATACATGTTTACTATATAAAATAGATAAATAAGAGGAGAAAGTTATTAGTTGTAATGCTGTAATGTGAAGATGACCACATTTAATATTTGAAGTAAAATGCTCATTTCTTAAAATAGTACCATATCATGCATACAGTTTGGTATTTAACAATATATTGTAAATACTTTCATGTAAAGGAAATATATCATTTTAATGGCCATATGGCATCACATTTGTGAGTGTACCTATAATTATTCAGCTAAAGTTTTATTTTATGTTGTTTAGATTACTTCTAGTTTTGCTATTATCAACAAATAATAACCATTCTTACTAGGTAACTTTTCTTCAGACCTGATCATTTTCCTAGAGTAAGTTTTAAGATGTGGAATTGCCAAGTCTAAAGGAGGATTCTCTTTAAAGAGTTTCTATAAACTCCTTGCAAGAAGGTCACACCTGCTTATGTCCTAGCAGCATATGAGAAATGTCCTTTTCCTTGCAAAACAGTCGTTCCCATTTTATAGATGTGACTGATAAGGCTTAGAAAAGCCAAACATGGGTATCTTTGTGCTATATTTTCTGCCTTTAGAGATTTATATATGCTTTGTGTTTCCAACCCCTCCTTCTCTTTGTTTTTGTATTTCTTACCAATGCAAAGAGAGTACTTGCAGTTGTCAGTGTTAAACCAATGTTGTTTCCCCAGAAGGAAGACGGAAGTGGACATGCCTCCAGGGCTATTCCTAGAGCCTTGCCAAAGTAATCCTCCCCTTGTTCTCCAAGTATCTGAGGCTGATGTGGCCAGTAGAGAGCTGCTTTGAGGTTCTGCTTATAAAACCCTCCTCCCCTCTTCTGGAAAGGTGTAAATTGCTTCAATTTATTAAGAATCTACCATGTGCCTGGGCCTGAGCATCCAAAGATGATGCTCTCCCCTGCCTCTCTCTCATTTCTCACCCTCCCTCCCTCTCCCTTCCCCCATCCCACCTTTCCTTCTCTCTGTCCTCAAGATGCTCATATTCAAGTGGGAAAGATTGACCGACAGGAAATAGCTGCCACCTGGGATGTGTTTGACACGATTTCTGGCTCAACAACTCTGCCAAGACCCATGGGGCAGGGCCAGGTTCAGTGTAGGGAAGGCAAGACGCTCAGCTTTCTCCACGTCTCTCACCATGCCCTTTAAGCACTAGGGGTTAGCAGGGGGATGCTCCCTCTCAGATTCTGTTGTAGTCACAGGCTTCTGACTTTCTGCTCTGGAGGTACCTCCACTCACCCCAGGATGATGTGGGGACTCTCAGAGGACTCAGACCAATTCTAGCTAACAGAAGCTTACCCGTCTCCCACTCCGGGATTAATAAAATGCACATTAGTGAGAGGAAGTATGATCAGAGGTGCCCTGTGTGCAGGGCACCGCTTCAGGGCTACAGTACACATAGATTTCTCTTTTCCCAGAACTGACAACCAGCTCTCTCCCCTTGTTTTCCAACTGCCTGCAGAAAGCTCAGAGGCAGAAATATAGCCTGTAATCTCCTTTCTGTCACTGGCAGTGATTCCTCTGAGCATAAGGAGGGCAGTTCACATGTCAGAAAGCTCCAAGGAAAATAAAAGTTGCAGGCTGTAGCAAGAAAAAGACTGCGGATGTGTGGCAGAGCCTTCCTAACTCAGTTACACTGGGGAGCAGTGTGCACCTTTTTACACTGGGGCAGAGACCCTACCGTGCTATTCTTCATCATTTAAAGTCTTCTTCCTTGGGGGGCTAGAGAGAGATGTTTCAGTAGTTAAGAACAGTGGCTGCTCTTGCAGAGAACCCAGGTTCAGTTTCTAGCACCCACACAGTGGCTAACAACTGTTTGCACACACATGGTACACTTGCGTACATGTAGGCAAAACATTCATACATATAAAAATAAATAAATAAATAAATAAATAAATAAATAAATAAATAAATAAATAAAATTTAAAAAGTCTTCCTCCTTTGAGAGGCAGACAGTCTGGAACAATCATGCCTGATCCTGGGCTGGAGTAGAACCCAATGGACAGAACCCTGTTAGGATAGCCTAACAGGCAGGACTGGGTCACAGAGGCAGACAGAAAGATACCCAGAGACTGGGCCCTATGTGACCTGATGTGACAGCCCAGATATTTAGGGCACAAGAAAGAAGTAGAAACTTTAGCTTGAAGATAAAGTCCCTCTCATCCTGACTGCCTCCCCAGATAGTACAGTGGGGTCCTTTGCCACTCTTGAGCTGCATCAGGTCCCTCATCCCTGACCAAGTGCTTCTCACTGGGCTCCCTCTGACAGGGAGAGCAGAGAACGTCTTTGTCTCTTATGCTAACCTGCACTTGGACCTTTTGCAGGTGAGAAGGACAGCAGTGAAGACTGAGCCCCTAGAATCTCTGGTCAGGAGTTCGAACCAAAGGCCTGTCCTCTTTGGGGAAGTTGTTCCATCCTGGTATCTATCCTAGTAATTAAAAGGTGCTGAGTTCTTTGTCCTGAGTGGCTCAAAAGCCCTGAAAGAGTGTGCACTCACTCTGGAGCCTAACCAAGGGCCTCCTCTTTGGTAAGTGTAGCCATGGCTGTGTGGTTTGTCTACAATGCCCCTCCCGGATGTCTGCAATGGTGGGCATCTGTGATAATCTGTACCTCCCTCCTTTCTCTGTACTGGGGTATGTAAGCTAAGGAGATGTGGCAGCTAG